AAAGTTTGATCTTCCTTTTTGTATTTCAAAATTTTCGTAAAATCCTTCCAAGAAGATGACAGTTTCTCTATTATAGACGAAACTATAATAGATTCATCCATGTTCATATTTTTTTGTCAAAACTGACTCAGACTATGTTGAATCTCATGGAATTGTTCCATAATGGGCTTTGTAGCAATCATAGTAAAACACATAAAATTACTAACAAGAAATTTCTTACTGGTGGCATCCTCAGTGAGGTACTTTGACTGTAATATGTCCTAGAGATGCTTTGCCATTTCCAGATGTTGATACACATCGAATAGAGATTCTGACAGCACATTCAGAATGTGTTATCGGCAAATGTAGTCGTCATTCTCCCATTTGGTCCTGGTACCGGTTTGCTCCATACTCTCATCTTCTTGCTTCACCAGATAGGGGGTAGTTAGCACATAGACCACTTTGAGAGTGGTGAGAAAAAAATGCATCTTCTTTTGCCAGCATCGAAATTGGTCAAGCTTCATGAAATCTTGAGTCATTTTCTGAATAGACATCACCATATCTAAATATTGTCTTTAGATTGTTGGAACCATTTGTCTTGAATTCTTTAGTTAGTGGTCTTCAGTTCTTTAAAACTTGGCAATGAACTTGTATATGTAAAACAAAAATTAGGTGCTTCAAGTTGCGTTACTTAGTCACTTTCCTAAAGACAATATTTGCACCCACCAAAAGGTGTGCAGGGGGTTACAGTAATTTCGCCTCCAGGATACAATGAAGCCTGATCTAAAAATCAAGTCTACCGGCGTCTGCACTAACGACAGTCGATCAGAATACTCTTGATATAATCAAGAAAACCAAGACACTAATAATCAAGTCTGCAGAATTTGATTACCAATAAGAAAAACAGAAATTTGCTTAAGAAACTCTTGATTGACAAGAGAGAGAGAGAGAGAATTACAAGAATGCTTTTCAGGATTTTGGATAGATTGAAATGGCTGAATTCATAGCCTATTTATATGCCTTGATGCATCTGATCGAATGGCCGTGTCTTTTGATCGCATCCGATCAGATCTGACCGTTGGATTGACAATCTATGGTGCAGATCATTCTCACACTGAATAGCTACCTTGACTGATCACAACTGATCACGATCGGGTTCCATCTCATCTGTACGATCGCGTGCATCTCCAATCAACGACTATGATCAAACCACTCCAGATCGGACACGCAACCATTCGATTAGTTGGTTGACCCATCGCCAACGGACGCCACTGCCGCGCGGAGCTGGCTGTATTCCATGTCACCCATGCCACGTTGGATCCACGTTATCACTCCAACCTATCTGATGCAAATAGGAAAGTTTTCTCATAGCGCCGATGTGTCCATGCAAAGTGCACCATCAAACGCCACACGGCCCACTGTCCACGCCACGCGCGCGCATGTACGGATGGTGCAAAGCACCATCCTTGCGGTGTGGGTGCATACACACTAGCTTTTACCTCACAATTCCATATTCAAAGAAATATTCCATGTACCACTTTATTAAGTGCTCCATGTTTCCTCTCTTTCCAATATGGGACAAAGTCCCCAAGCTTATTTCAAGCTTTCCAAAGAAAAACAAAAAAGGTTTTGAAAACACCCAAAAATTAAACTATACATTTTAAAAACCATTTTGAAAATTCCTCAACAGTCCCAACAGCAGGTGATAGTATTTACTTAATCATAAAAGCGGAGGATTTGACCTATTGACCGAACACTGCGATTTTCGCATCTCACTCAACACAACTCAAAAAGAGAGAAATACTACTTAAGCCCAACCTTCAAAGCAAAAAGAGGGCATCCCAATCCCGAGCGTTATTTTTTTTCTCCAGTCCATTAATTGGACTATTGGACTAGAGTCCAATTTAAGGCAATTTGGAACCACCTCAAGTCCACCTTGGTAAACCAAACCATTCAATTTTTAGTACCTTCCTAGTATATCCATGCAAAAACTTTGGTTGACCGGATATCGATAGCTTTATGTCTATATCACATTTTTCTTTAAAAAAATGGATGATAATTATGATTTTAAAAATAGATCATCTATTTTTTTAAGATGAATGTGATCTAAACATGTGGTTATCGATATCAGATCATCTTGATATTTTACATGAATAATCTACTAGAAAGGCAGTCAAAATTGAGCAATTCATATCATTGAAATAAACACAAACTAAGTACACATTACACTAAACTAGACCCTCCAATCCAATAAGAGAGTGGAGCTCCTACCTCCAAGGGGTTGGCCTGGTGATTAAGGCTTGGTGTTTGAGAGTGTGCTCCGTCCATGGTTTCAAGTTCAAAACCTCCTATGTCCAAATAATTTCTTTGGGCCAATCCATATAGGGTTCTACCTTGGCTTTAAATGGGTCTCCCACTAGTGAATGGTGGAATTGGTCCTACGAATTAGTCGGTCTTTTGAGCTCGATATCGAGTCATCAAAAAAAGAAAGTGGACCTCCCCCTAAATAAAAACAAATACAACATTTTGATTACTTTGAAATGCATAGAGGGAGGGAGGGACTCTTCCAGGTCTGCCAAGGCCACTTGTCTTCTTAACATGAGTTTGCTTTTTTAGAGCTGTTACAACTTTGATAACAGGTGGATCCTTGGAGGGTTTAACCCGTAATTGAGCACACAGTGAGGTCATTTGCTATTGTTACTACACTTCATATAACATGTTCACACAAGTCCCTAACGCTCAGTTTGGAAGTGTTGTTCAAACTCAACCCCACAAAGTAACTGACAAATTACTTTTCAGTGGGTTTGGTCTCAAAAGTTGAAGGATGGCTTCAAGTAAGCTTAGCTAGAGTTTCTCAGTGGGTTTAAGCTTTGTTAGCTAGTTTTTGGGTTTTGGCTTCTAGTGTTTGTGGTCTTGTGAGCAAGTGTTGGTTTCTCACCAACACTATGCTCGGTTTCTTTTCTTGTCCTCTCTTCTTTCTGTTCCTTGTTGATGATATCTCATATGTAATGTATGTTTTCTTCATCAATAAAGGATTTTCTTTGCTGATCAAAAAAAAAAAAAAAAGTAACTGACAAATTAGGTATCTCAAACTTTTTTTAATTATATGTATTACCTTCTATTCTCATATATATATATATATATATATATATATTGTATGTCTATACAGAGAGAGAAAGAAAGATTCTTGAAAATGTAGAAGTGCCAAAATAGAGAGTGAACATATTGGTAGCATGGTTGCGACTTAAGCCAATTGTTGGGTGGGTACTACTTAAAATTAAATCTCTCGAGTTTAATTAACCTACCACTCATAACTTTAACTCATTGTTAAACCATTTTTCGGACCAGGGTGGTTCTTTATTGATTCTATATTTTTAGAGCTATGGGGGAGCCAGGATTTTCATTCACAGGGATACCATTAATCCTTAGTGATATCAATTAAAAAAATTGACCAAATTAAATTTTCATATTTAGTAATAGAATGACTAAAGAACAACGTGATATCAAAATTATGAGTCTTAGATATGTTTTAATTAGTTGATGCTTTTATTTTCTATTTTAGTTACTAAATATGGTGATAATCACAATTTAAAATGTAATAGCATGCATACAAAAAAATAAAATAAAATAAAATAGATATGGAGAAAAACAATAGAGAAATGAGAGAGATAGAAATAGAAATAATAGTAAGAGAATATTTTGATAAAATTAAAGATTTGTAATGGTAAATTATAAGGAATTTATTAAAAAGAAAGATGAGATATAAACATTTTAAAACATATTTGAAAATTAAAATGGAATTAAATGAAAAACTTTTTATAATTAGAGATAAAAGTGTAATTTTCAAAATATGAGGGACGGGGCACGTGCCCCCTATACCCTATGTTGCTCCGTCCTTGGCTATGCTATACGTAATTCAATTTCTTATTTCATTTACTCACTCCTAAACACAAAGTAATGGGTTTCATATTCATAAATACATATGAGACTTGTCTACTTACGTCTTGGTGTGAGAAAAAGAGATAATAATAAATAATAATAAAAGATTATATGTAACATTTTTCATATTTTTATAATGGAATATGCTACATATAATTCTATTTTTTTACTCATTTTTCTTACTCTGTGATACAAGTTGGTCCGTATGTCTTTATTAATGTCGTCCCAATTACTATGTGTTTAGGAGTGAGAAAAAAAAAAAAAGGTAAGAAATATATATGATAATATGTAGTATTGCTCTTTTATGACAAATACTAACAAGTTTTTATGGGTATTGTTTAATGTACACATTAAAAAGGTGCACATCAGAAGAAAAATTATTTTTGCAGTAAAAGTTACAAATTACGAAAGTATAATGTGCACCCTTCAAATAATATTGTTTGTAGTAAAAATTATACTTTTTGTGGTAACAATTATACAAAATAATTATACTCTTTTATATAACGTATACATTGCATTAATAGTTTTTCCCGTTGTTTAGTATTGAGATTTTTGCAACATGTGGTAACAAAAATGCTACATATTTCAAAAAGTTTGTCAAAAAATTTACAATACTCACATATATGTGGGTCTCAAACCCATGTAAGTACTATGTAGAATTTTTTATAATTTTTTTTAAAATTCCAAATATTACTCGCTGTAAAAATTGTAAAAATATTAAACTAACGTTGTGTTTAATTGAGAGATTTGAAAAGGGATTTAGAAAAAAAATTTGTATAAAATTAGGTGAATTATAGGTATATTTTATTCACATTTTACCTATATTTTTTCTTTTATTTTCAAGTCCATTCCTATATCTTTCAACTAACCACAGCGTAAATAAAAAATATAATAAAATAAATTAAAAAATGTCTATAATTCTACACAATTTATATATATATATATATATATATTTCATGATACCTTTAAAACACTTGTTAGCTGAACCATTTTTATTTTTTTATTTTTTTTTATTACATTATAAAAGCTTCACACCCCTTCTCAAAACTAAAAGCGAGCTTCACTTTCTGAAGTTTCTTCTCTCCCTCTCCCTCTCTCTCTCTCTCCATGTTTTGGTAAACCACTTTAGGTAACCAGAAAACAAGCCCATAAGAGTCTTTTAGACCTGCCACCACTCCATATCATAACCCCTCTATCTCTCTCTCTCCCTACCCACATTTTGTATTTTGTTGTGAAGTGAGGAAGAGGAGAGAGAAAGTTAGCTAACGTAGCTTAGAGAGCAGAGCAGAGGTCAAAATGAAGAGGTCACCTTCTTCTTGTTGGTCTTCATCTTCAACTTCAAGTGTTGAGTCTGATCTTCATCCTGCTCATCCTGATGATGATCAATCAGCCCAGCCCAATCCCAAGGCCAAGCGTCCCAGAACCAGACCCAGAGGAGCTATCAATAAAAATCTCAACCAAAGCAAGTCCCAGAAGATTATTAATCCCAACTCTCCCAGAAGAAGCTCCATTTACAGAGGAGTCACCAGGTAATTAATAATTCATAGCAATAACTCTCTCTCTCTCTCTTAGGGATGGCAATTTGAACCCGGCCCGACGGGGACCCGACCCCGTCCCCAATAAGAACGGTTTTTCCCCGAAAAATACTCCTCACGGGGCGGGAATGGTATTAAAAAATAAATCTCCGGTGACATTCGGGCCAGGAACGATGATATATATTTCATCCCCGGCCCGCCCCGGCCCCGCCCTCCGCCCCGGTTAGCCCCCGATTTATATATATATATACTATATATATGTTAACTTACACTCTGACACGCTCGTCCCAAAAGATTATTAATCCCAACTCTCCCAGATGAAGCTCCATTTACAGAGGAGTCACCAGGTAATTAATAATTCATAGCAATAACTCTCTCTCTCTCTCTCTCTCTTCATTTGTTTGCATGTGTTAGAATATAATATGTAAAGTGTTTAATAATTATGTTTTCTTCTGTCGGTGTGTGTTAATTAGTATCCTATGTGTATCACTTTTCCTCTCTATAAATGAGAGTGTTGTAAATCATATCAATACAATATTCATCAATACAATTTATTCTCTCCTTCTCTCTCTATCAATTTATCTTACAGCATGCATGAGAATTTGGATTGATAATTGACAATCAAATGAATGAAAAATGGCATTGAGATTGAGATTTTGATTGTGGACAGGCACAGATGGACAGGGAGGTTTGAAGCTCATCTGTGGGATAAGAGTTCATGGAATACCATTCAAAACAAGAAAGGAAGACAAAGTGAATATCTATATCTATATCTATATCATCAATCTTCAATCTTTAATTAATTAATTAATTAATATTAATTTAATTTGTAAACTTTTCAGCATAGATTTGTATTTGAAAATAAATAAATGATAGAATCAAAGAGATCTGCTGCAATCTATGTTTGTTATTAAATATAATAATAACAAGTGAAAGTGCCGAACAGCATCTGTTGCTTTGCATGGCATGCTTGTGGGTGGGTTTCTGACTGACTGACTCCTGTGTTTTTATTCTTGGATGGATGGATGATGGTTGATGGTTGATGGTTGATGTTGATGATGGATCCTTGTCATTGCAACGTTCTTTTACGCTTTTGTCGCTGCCATTAGTTTATTTGGGTAACTTCTTCCTCTCTTCTCTCTCTCTTCATTTGTTTCTTATTTTCTTCTTCTCCTTCTGTTTTCTCTTAGCAGATTAATGTTTGGTTAATTACATCAAAATTCACTCAATTATTAATAAACATCACATTTTTTTGTTATAAATTCGTACATATTCACTCCTCAACTACGAAAATCGCACAAATACACCAGTTTGAAGATGACTTGAAAATATGAAAATCATACATTTATATAGTTAAGGGTCAAAATCTACGAATTTTGAGGAGTAAAGTGAGTGTAATTAACCTTAATTTCTTTTTTTTATCAATTTATCCTGTTCTTTTATTATTATTATTATTATTATTATTATTTAAATTATGATTTTCGGAAAAGCTACTACTTTTGTTCCAAAAAAAGGTACCCGAAAATGAATCGGCACAATATAGATTTAAATTAGATGTAATATGGGTCACACATTTTATTATTTTTTTTAATACTTTTTGAATACTTTTCTCACACTTGGTCGTAGAAGATTTTTTTCTAAAATTTGGGTGGTACTGCGAAGTAGTTTTTGACTGTTGCATAAGTAATACAAAACTAAAAAGATTGCCTATTTTGTTATTATATTTTCTTTGACAACAGGGAAGGGCTAATAATTTATTATTTAAGTGATCCTAAACAAAATATCTTATTGCATTAATGTGGGGCCTACCTTCGTATTTATTATGTATAACATTTTTCTTATTTTAAAAGGCCATTGTTGTATAATAATGTTTTGTTGCCTCAACCCCAATGCATATGTTGTGGAGTATTTTGAGAAGTTGGTAAAAAATTAGTTTTTTGACTTTTTTAGTTTATTTTGTCTTTGTGTGAGTAAGTTATGTGAAAAGTAATGTGATTCAAAATTAATAAAAAACAGAAAGCTGACTTTTTACTAACTTCTCAAAAGAGCACTGTCTATGAGAGCCATTCCCTTTGAACAATCTTTTAAAATTTTCAATGTCAGTATTGTGAAATGTTTGTCACTTAATTTATTTCACTTTTGAATGTAGGGTAATATGATAATGAGGAAGCAGCTGCTCATACCTACGATCTTGCGGCCCTTAAGTATTGGGGGGCCGATACTGCATTGAATTTTTTGGTACTATTTTTCTTCTTCCTTGTCACACTTCTATCTTTTTAAATTTTGCTAAGCAAGTTTGTAATTAATTTTAGTTATGCATGAATTATTTTCAGCTAACAATTTATTTATTTATTTATTTATTATAAAATATTTGCTTAAAATACAAATTGATACATACACCAAGGAACTTGGGGAAATGCAAAAGCAGTCCAAGGAAGAGTATTTGGCTTCCCTACGACGCCGAAGCAGCGGATTTTCCAGGGGCGTTTCTAAGTACCGTGGTGTGGCAAGGTAACCCACCACCAAACTTTGGGGAAATTCTATTTCCACAAACTCTTTATCTCTGTGTACATAATTTTTCAATGCACACACTTATGAAATTGATTTTATAATTTTGTTCTCAATCCACACATCACTTGTTCTAATTATATCCTAAACTACACATACCATCTAAACCATTAGTTCCACGGAGATATATGGTGTAGACCCATTTTGTATTCCATTTACAAGGTATGTCGATGGAATAGAAAATGGGTCTCACAAAATGCTAATTAATTACACTAATTATTGTTAGCTCCAGCTCATAAGAAGACCATTCAACTTCTCCATGTGAAAGCATGGCATTGCTTGTCAAGGAATGGGGCTTGTCGGTTGGCAAGCCGCAAAGGTGGACGAATTTCGACGAGCACCGAAAGGAGAAGATGAAGGCTGCCTCTCCTCACCTACCATCTATGTGTATAAATGGAGAGGCTGAGAGGAGAGAAAATAGGCAGCAACACAGAGAGAACACCAAGTGTGAGAGTGTATGTGAGAGCGTTATGTGAGAGAGTTTTGTAATCTTTCTCCGGATAATATATCGCTCTCCGTGGACGTAGGCAATTGCCGAATCACATAAATATTCTTGTGTTATTGTGTGGAATTGATTTCTGGTGTCCAATAGTCCTAACAAGTGGTATCGAAGCCGAATCAGTTGCGTTTCGGAACAAAAATAGAGTGTGTTTCGAAACTGCCCAGAAATCAAGTTGCTTGAAATCTGGTTTTGAGCATACCAGGAGCAAGCTCTCAACGAGAGGAGTACAAAACTGCAAAGAAGAGCTCCAAAAGAGCTCACACGTGCCTGAACGCGCCTCCCAAATAAAGCGAGTACGTCCCACGCACACCACGCGCCGTCACGCGCCGAACAGCAGTCGACGCGTCATCTCAGACGCACGCACACGCCATCACGGGCGGAGTAAGAGGGAAGACGGCCACGTGGCGCCATGTCATCGACACGTCATCGCCACGTCAGCGCCACGTGGCTGGCAGACGCGTGGCAGACACGTGGCAGCCACGTCATCAGGCTGACCAAGCCGCTGACCGAGCTGTGAGCCACGCCGTTTCCAAGCGGCGTTGACCAGCTTTTTGACTGAGCCGTTGACTCAGCTAAACCGCAGAAATCATCCGGTGCTTCGCAAGGGCACCAGATTCCGCACATCTGAACCATGTAAACTGTTTTCGCTTAATCAGAGCCATTCTGAGTCCATTTTTGAAGATCCAATAGTGTTTTTTGACTATTTAGAGTATTCCGGACACATCCGTACAGTCAGATTTTTCATTCAGAATTTTTCGTAAAAAGACAGAATACGATGAAGGCGTCCACATCAACTCCAGAATCTATGTTCAAGTTAACTCCTTCAGCTGCTAACACCTACGATCTTACGGCCCTTAAGTATTGGGGGGCCGATACTACATTGAATATTCCAGTACAATTTTTCTTCTTCCTTGTCACACTTCTATCTTTTTAAATTTTGCTAAACAAGTTTGTAATTGATTTTAGTTATGCATGAATTATTGCCAGCTAACAATTTATTTATTTTTTATTATAAAATATTTGCTTAAAATACAAATTGATACATACACCAAGGAACTTGGGGAAATGCAAAAGCAGTCCATGGAAGAGTATTTGGCTTCCCTACGGCGCCGAAGCAGCGGATTTTGCAGGGGCGTTTCTAAGTACCGTTGTGTGGCAAGGTAACCCACCACCAAACTTTGGGGAAATTCTATTTCCACAAACTCTTTATCTCTGTGTACATAATTTTTCAATGCACACACTTATGAAATTGATTTTATAATTTTGTTCTCAATCCACACATCACTTGTTCTAATTGTATCCTAAACTACACATACCATCTAAACCATTAGTTCCACGGAGATCAATAGTGTATACCCATTTTGTCTTCCATTTACAAGGTATGTGGATGGAATAGAAAATGGGTCTCACAAAATGCTAATTAATTGCTCCAATTATTGTTAGCTCCAGCTCATAAGAAGACCATTCAACTTCTCCATGTGAAAGCATGGCATTGCTTGTCAAGGAATGTGACTTGTCGGTTGGCAAGCCGCAAAGGTGGACGGATTTCGTTGAGCACCGAAAGGAGAAGACGAAGGCTAGCTCTCCTCACCTACCATCTATGTGTATAAATGGAGAGGCAGAGAGGAGAGAAAATAGGCAAAAACACAGAGAGAACACCAAGTGTGAGAGTGTATGTGAGAGCGTTATGTGAGAGAGCTCTGTATTCTTTCTCCGGATAATATATCGCTCTCCGTGGATGTAGGCAATTACCGAACCATGTAAATATTCTTGTGTTATTGTGTGGAATTGATTTCTGGTGTCCAATAGTCCAAACAAGTGGTATCGAAGTCGAATCGGTTGCGTTTCAGAACAAAAACAGAGTGTTTTTCGAAACTGCCCAGAAATCAAGTTGCTTGAAATCTGGTTTTGAGCATACCAGGAGCAAGGTCACAACAAGAGGAGTCCAGAACGGCAAAGCAGAGCTCCAGAAGAGCTCACACGAGCCCGAACGCACCTCCCAAATAAAGCGAGTAAGCCCAATGCGCACCACGCCCTGAACAGCAGCCGGCGCGTCATCTCAGATGCACGCACGCGCCATCACCCGCGGCGTAAGGGGGAAAACGACCACATGGCGCCATGTCATCGCCACTTTAGCGCCACGTCAGCACCACATCAGTACCACGTCAGCGCCACGTGGCAGGCAGACGCGTGGCAACCACGTCATCAGGCTGACCGAGCTGTGAGCCGCGCCATTAACCAGCCGCGCCGTTTCGAAGCGGCTTTGACCAGCTTTTTGACTGAGTCGTTAACTCAGCCAAACCGCGGAAAACATCCGGTGCTTCGCATGCGCACCAAATTCCGCACATCTGAACCGTGTAAACTGTTTGGGCTTAATAAGTGCCATTCTGAGTCCGTTTTTGATGATCTAATAGTGTTTTTTGACTATATGGAGTATTCCGGACACATCCGTACGGTCAGATTTCTTATTCAGATTTTTCTGTAAAAAGAAAAAATACGATGGAGGCGTCCACATCAACTTCAGAATCTATGTTCATGTTAACTCCCTCTGCTGCTCATACCTACGATCTTGCGGCCCTTAAGTATTGGGGGGCCGATACTGCATTGAATTTTTCGGTACTATTTTTCTTCTTCCTTGTCACACTTCTATCTTTTTAAATTTTACTAAGCAAGTTTGTAATTAATTTTAGTTATGCATGAATTATTTTCAACTCACAGTTTATTTATTTATTTATTATAAAATATTTGCTTAAAATACAGATTGATACATACACCAAGGAACTTGGGGAAATACAAAAGCAGTCCATGGAAGAGTATTTGGCTTCCCTACGGTGCCAAAGCAGCGGATTTTCCAAGGGCGTTTCTAAGTACCGTGGTATGGCAAGGTAACCCACCACCAAACTTTGGGGAAATTCTATTTCCACAACTCTTTATCTCTGTGTACATAATTTTTCAATGCACACACTTATGAAATTGATTTTATAATTTTGTTCTCAATCCACACATCACTTGTTCTAATTATATCCTAAGCTACACATACCATCTAAACCATTAGTTCCACGGAGATCAATGGTGTAGACCCATTTTGTATTCCATTTACAAGGTATGTGGATGGAATAGAAAATGGGTCTCACAAAATGCTAATTAATTGCTCCAATTATTGTTAGCTCCATCTCATAAGAAGACCATTCAACTTCTCCATGTGAAAGCATGGCATTGCTTGTCAAGGAATGCGGCTTGTCGGTTGGCAAGCCGCAAAGGTGGACGGATTTCGAAGACCACCGAAAGGAGAAGATAAAGGCTGGCTCTCCTCACCTACCATCTATGTGTATAAATGAAGAGGTTGAGAGGAGAGAAAATAGGCAGCAACACAGAGAGAACACCAAGTGTGAGAGTGTATGTGAGAGCGTTATGTGAGAGAGCTCTGTATTCTTTCTCCGGATAATATATCGCTCTCCGTGGACGTAGGCAATTGCCGAACCAGGTAAATATTCTTGTGTTATTGTATGGAATTGATTTCTAGTGTCCAATAGTCCAAACAAGTGGTATCGAAGCCGAATCGATTGCGTTTCGGAACAAAAACAGAGTGTTTTTCGAAACTGCCCAGAAATCAAGTTGCTCGAAATCTGGTTTTGAGCATACCAGGAGCAAGGTCTCAACGAGAGGAGTCTAGAATTGCAAAGCAGAGCTCCAGAAGAGCTCACATGCGCCCGAACGCGCCTCCCAAATAAAGCGAGTAAGCCCCACGCACACCACGCGCCATCACACGCCGAACAGCAGCCGGCGCGTCATCTTAGATGCACGCACGCGCCATTACGCGCGGCGTAAGGGGGAAGACAACCACGTGGCGCCATGTCATTGACACGTCATCGCCACGTTAGCACCACGTCATCGCCACGCCAGCGCCACGTGGTAGGCAGACGCGTGGCAGACACGTGGCAGCCACGTCATCAGGCTGACCAAGCCACTGATCGAGTTGTGAGCCGCGCCGTTGACCAGCCGCGCCATTTCCAAGCAGCTTTGACCAGCATTTTGACTGAGTCGTTGACTCAGCCAAACCGCAAAATCATCCGGTACTTCCCAGGCGCACCAGATTCCGCAGATTTGAACCGTGTAAACTGTTTTTTTGCTTAATCAGAGCGATTCTGAGTCCGTTTTTGATGATCCAATAGTGTTTTTTGACTATTTGGAGTATTCTGGACACTTTCGTACAGTCAGATTTTTCATTCGGTTTTTCAGTAAAAAGACAGAATACGATGGAGGCGTCCACATCAAT